CTTTGGACGTGTTATCAGTAGGGACTTGTTCCTGGAGAAGGACATCATGCTTGGTTAAGTAGAGGGTCAGCAAAATGAGATGGAGTGACACAGTGACTGCAACAATGGGCTCAAACATAGCCCTGATTGTGTGGATGGTACAGGACCAGGCACTGCTTTGTTCTGTTGTACCTAGGGTCACTATGAGTCAGAGCCAACTTGATGACATCTAACAACAACAGATCTTGGGCCCAAGAACCTGAGAGCCTGGCTACCCTCCCCCACAGTCCACTCTCCATCAGGGAATTGTTCGAGCTCATTTCTTATATCAATAAGTCTTTGTCATCTCAAATTACCCACTTTCTATATGTAAAATACACAGAACAAATTATGTTCAGGGCCACTTCTCCCAAAGTCTACTAAATAGTAAGGCACTCTGGTAGCATAGTGCCTAAGGTATTTGAGGTTGTACAATTGTAAATGCCTCTGGGACTAAGATTTGTCATTTGCCTCTTAGGTAATTATAGTTTTAGGAATTATAGTTCCTTCATGTTGGTTAAATCTAACTCTGGATTCTGACTGTATAGAATCTTTTTGTCTGTCAGTTTTACTGTATGCCTTTAGTATCTGGGATTTCTACACGACCCTAAATGCAAATGCGGTAAGAGCCACAGGGCTTTGTCTCATTTTTTTTTCTGCTCAGAGTAGAACCAGACAAAATCAATTCCTTAGTATTTGGACCTGTTCCAAAAATGCTAGCAGTGATGGCTCATAGCCCACAGGTAGCCATGGACTTATTTGAGATAATTTGGGGCTGAGAGTCAGCAAGTACTTTTTTGCTTTTGGTTAAGTATGAAACAATATGTAATAATTTGCTGTGCTTAGAGCAGAGTTGATCTCTCTTAAGAAACTTGAGGAACCTGTTAAGGACAAGTGGCAGAATAGACAACCACTCAACCTCTGCACAGACCTGTATTTAGTATTTTGCAGCTTAGTGCTTTCACAGTTACATTCTTTGACTAAGGTACATGTTGTTAATTCCCATATTTGATTGGCTCAATTTTATAAATCAAGTAAGTAGTTGAGACTGCCTGTACTTGTTGGGTGCTTGGTCAATATTCACAAAGAAGTCAGTATTCATCAAAACATTTAAGGATCTAAATGCAGATAATGTTATTTGGTACAGGTTCAATGCCAAGAGGACTACCATCTTCTAGGAAGTAAAGATTGGATACATTTATGTGTCCAAGGACACTTACACCAAAGTCAGCTAGGGAATGCTTTCAAGCACAGGTGTTTCTAGCCCCATGCAGGAGGTTGTTGTT